CCGACGTTGTGGCTGGTTATTGCCGCGGTTGAGCATGGAACCCAGCAGTGTTTCACACCATTCCTGCCAGTTGGCTCCATCTTCCGCTCGGCACGCATGGTCATCAAACCAGGTACCTGCCCAGTCACGTAGACCATCACGCATATCTGCATGATCTTGATATGCTTGAGCTCGCTCCGGTGCCGCTGGTGGTAATCCCATATCTCCAGGTGCACCGTCGGTGGTGATGTTCGCCATGATGCCACTGTTGCCGAGCATAGTGTTGGCCTCCTCCCTCGCATGTTTCGCCGCCTGCTCTTTCGCGCGCATCCGCTCGTGGAGGCTGGCCATGCGCTGCGCGAGTTCGTAGGGCCCATCAGGAACAGGCCGAGCAACCTCGGTAACCGCGCGCTCGATCTGCCTCGCCAGATTTTTGTGGGGGGGCGATGCCATTGCGCAAGTTCGCGAGGACCTCCATGCTGTTGGCGGTAGGCCACGCGCACTGCTCGCACAACTTGTGCTTTCGATTTTGCTGCGACCAGGCCCCCCGCACTTCGCGCGCGCGAATGCCGTCGCCTTTCGGGTCATGTCGCTGGGTTCGCTCTTATGGTTGGCTGCAATGAGCTGGTGCCCCAGTGGATTGTTCATGTGCTCCTTGAGAAAGGTAGGCGTGCCCGTGCATCCATTGGCCTGGTCATTTACAGGCTGTCTAAGTCGCAAGCACTGCGAGCGCTGCCGGCCCAGACCCGCGCCCTGCCAGTCGTGCCAGTTGTCCACACTGATGCTCTTGACTCGCTCGTAGCCCGTCGAGTTCCTCGGCCACTTTTCATCCTCTGCGTCATGCAAATGAAGGACGTGCGCGGTCAATCTGGAGAGCCCTTGACATCACTTCTCGTGGTCATTTATCTTCGCTTGAAGCTCTTCCGCGATGAATGGGCGCCGTCGCGCTCCCTGCTCTGCGTGGCGATCTGCCACTGCGCTGCCATCGGTGATCCTCCTGGCGTCCGCGTCTGGGCCGCTGCGTTCCCCATCCTGATCTGCGTGCCTCGATGTGCTTCGCGTCCTCGATGCGGCTGATCCCCAGGTGGCTGCGCGCGAAACCGAAGGCGCCTCCGCGCTTCTGCGTGACCTGCGCCCGCTTCTGGGCCGACTGCTGGAACAGGTTGATCGCGCCCTTGAAGTCGGCGTAAAGGGTAGCTGGTTGGTCCGTTGCCTGGCAAGAAAAAAGCAAACGAGAGGTGCTCCGCTCTCGCCGACGTCTGCAGCAATCAGGCAGGCACTGCTGCGCGCATGACGCGCAGGGGTCGGTCACCTGCTGGATCTGAAAGTACTGTCGCCCATCCTGCCCTCTGTGATTCCAGCGGCGCAGGTTTGGGGCGCGAGCCGTCGATGGCGAACTCGATCTGCTGGGCGCCGGGCGCCGCCGCGCAATGGGCCATCCCCCCAGCCCCATGCCCCATTCAATATCGACGACGCGTGCTTGCAGCCCGAGATCCACGCGAGGTACATCTGCATCATGATAGGCACAGGCCCCTCGAGGCAGCGCATCGCCATCTCTCGCATCTCGGGGCGCCCGTAAGAAACCGTTGCCCCGCTTCGGCTTCGTCGCGCGCAGCAGCCGATATCAGGCAGAAGACAATCAGCTAGCCCGTGAACGAGGGTGTCCGCCGTGCTTCCACGCCTGCAATTGCCATCCGCGATGTAGCCTCTCTGGCGCGCCCTTGCTCGCGCCCGCGTTCCATCGCAGGCGCAGTTCACGATGCAGAACTTCTGGCGATGGCTATACTTCCCGCTGGCCGCCCCGACGAAGGTCGCGAGAAGGTCGAAGGGGGCGCGCGCGGAGGGGTTGCCGCGCCACTTCGCGCCCAAGGCCATCTCGCGCTGCCGCGCCAACCCCTGCGCGGGCAAAGTCTCGAGCATCACCAGTGTCATCTGCGCGACATCAACCGTGTCATCACGATGGTTGCGCCGTGCCGCCCCAGAGATTATCGCCCAGCCAGCGCGCTGAACACTTAGGGCGGTGCGCTGTAGAGGTCCTCGCGTCTGACCCTACTTTGCCACGACACCGTGCTCGCTGACCGCCTTGCCCCGCCATCCAATCAGCTCGTTGAGGCCCACCGTTGCCGCTTGAAGACAGCGCTGTGCAATCCAACATGTGCGACGCCATTGAAGTGCCGGGGCCAGTGCTTCGTGTGCTGCAGGATCCGCTAGTAGAACAATTGTTGCTCATCCTGGTGAGCCTCCATGATGAGGTTTTCTTTTTGCGCTGGCACCCTTTGCGAAGTCGCGCAAGTTCACTGTCGCTCATGCCGTTCGCCTCCACGCAGAAGGCAAGCCTGCCCAAGTCTTGAATATTGTCGCGATCCTTTCGCTGCCCTCTTTCAGGGTTGCCCTCCGAACTTTGCTCTGCTTGCGCGCGCGTTTTTGATGCCGCGCCAGTTGCGCCCGACACTTGACCCTGGCCCCAGCGGGCGACCCCGCCTTACCGCCCGAGAAGTCAGCGCCGAGAAAAGATGCAGCC